GCCCCTTGCCCGCCCAAGTGCGCGCACGCGCGCGCGCGGCCTGGCCCGGCCCGGGGCAGCGCTATGAAGACCCTCGCCGCTTGGGGTCGCCGACTTCCGACGCGGCCTATGAGGTCGCGGCCGGCCCGAGGCCCAATTCCACCGCCTCGCAGCGGCCTCCCAACTCTCGGAGCGAGCGAGCGCCGCCCCACCCCCTCACTCCCGGCGCCGTTAGCTCCAGCCTTCCCGCACTCACCAAGGGCCTGGCATCCGGCGTCCCGCAACCGGGCCCGAGCGCCCCGCCCCCTCCCCCCCGAGAGGAGCGGTCGTCGCCGGCAGCCGTCGCTGTCCTGCCGCTGCTGCTGCCGCCGCTGCTGCCTCCACCGCCGCCAACGCCGCGCGCAGCCCCGCCCCCTCTTAAAGCGACGGCGTCTGGGGAGGACCGGGCCCCGCCCCCGAGGGGGGGGGTGAGGCCTGGAGAGCGGGGCGGGGCTTGTGGGCGGGGCGGCTCCGCCCATCTCGCCCCGCCCCTCAGCCCCGGGGGGCCCACCCGCAGCTGGTCAGTTCAGCTAGAAAGCTCTCTCCCTCAGAAGCCCCCAGCTGGCTCCTTTTTCGCCTTTTCCGGAAGGCGAATGGAGGAACTCTTCCCCCTGGTTGTCAAGTCACTTAGTTTCCTGACTCCCTCCCGCCCCCTGCCCGCCCAGGGAACCTGGAAGTTCTTGTTTACCCAGTTATCAGCCCTCCCTCCTCACCTAGATTCTTTTGTCTTTGGTCCCCCAATGAATTCCCATTGCTCCAGGGATGATGGATGGATGGATGGATTTCCACCTCCCTTCCCCCCATCTTCCCCCCCCCCCCCCCCCCCGCCCCCCCCCCGCCTTCGGGCTTCCCTGGAGTCCTGCTCCTAATTATCTCTTTAATATCTCTTTATCTTCCCCCCCCCGCATCTGGGGCTGTCTTGTGTTCACACTGGGCTTGCTTTGCTAAACTGTTACTCCGCCACTTGAGCCCCACCTAGAACTTTTGTAATAGGTCGGATGGATCCAGACACGGTCGTAATACCTCTGTAGCACGGGAGGCCGACACAAGAGGCCCAAGTTGTTGAGAGGCCAGCCTTTGTTACAATACGGAGACCCTGTCTAAAAAGAAACAAAACTGTAGCCAGCTGCTGGTTGCTCACACCTGTAATCTTAGCTACTCAGGAGGGTGAGCTCTGAGGGTCGCCATTCAAACCATCCCAGACAGGAAAGTCTGTGAGACTCTCCCATTAACCACCATAAAACTGGAAGTGGTGCTGTGGCTCAAAGTGGTAGAGCACTAGCTTTGAGCAAAAGAACTCAGAGGCAGCACCCAAGCGAGTACAAGCCCCACAGCTGACCAAAAACAAAAAGCTAGGGGTCCCCTGAATGTAGCTCAATTGCTAGAATGTTACCATGCATGGGCCTTGAGTTTGATCTTCAACATTGGAGAAATATATATATATATACACATATATGTATATATATGTATGTATATATATATATATATATTCATTTTTAGGAGGCTGAGATCTCAGGATCACAGTTCAAAGCCAGCCCAGGGAGAAAGTCTATGAGACTCATATCTTCAATTAACCACCAAAGCCAGAAGTGGAGGTGTGGCTCAAGTACAAGCCAGCCTTGAGTTAAAAAAAAACAACAACAACAACTAAAGGACAGTACCCAGTACAAGCAGTAATTGAATTTTTATAAAAAAAAAAAATATATATATATATATGTGGGTTTGAATTCAGGGCCTGGGCACTGTCCCAGTTTCTTTTGCTCAAAGCTAGCACTCTACCACTTGAGCCACAGTGCCACTTTCAGCTTTTTTCTATATGTGGTGCTGAGGAATCAAACCCAGGGCTTTATGCATGCTAGGCAAGCACTCTGCCACTAAGCCACATTCCCAGCCCTAATTTTTTTAATTTTTATTGTATTTTTTTACTTTTTTATGGTCTGTACTGGGGCTTAGACTCAGGCCTGCCTAAGGTATGTCCCTGAGCATTTTTGCCCAAGGCTAATGCTCTTACCACTTGAGCCACAGCTCCACTTCCAGCTTTTTTGGTGGTTAATTGGAGACAAGAGTCTCATGGACTTTCCTGCTTGGGCTAACTTTGAACCACAATCCTCAGATCTCAGCCTCTTGAGTAACTAGGATTATAGGCATAAACCACCAGCACCTAGCTCACAAAGATTATTTTACCACATTAAACAGTCTCAGACATCTGAAACTCTAACCTAAACAGAGTTCCTTCCAGATTCCTAATAAACAGACCAAACTCCCCTAAGTCCTTAAGCACTTTTCATGATGACCACCAACCCTGACTCAGCCCTTGTTTCAATCTAACGGGTGTTTTTTGTTTTGTTTTTTTTCTAACGGGTGTTTTTTTGCTTGTTTTGTTTTTGTTTTGTCGGTCCTGGGGCGTGAACTCTGGGCTTGGGCCCTTGCACTCTTCAGCTCAAGGCGAGCACTCTACCGCTTGAGCCACAGCACCACTTCCGGTTTTCTAGTGCTTTATTGGAGATAAGAGTCTCATGGACTTTCCTGCCCAGGCTGGCTTTGAACCACAATCCTCAAATCTCAGCCTCCTGAGTAGCTAGGATTACAGGCTTGAGCCACCCACACCCGGCTCTAAAGGGTATTTCATCTTCAGCTTTACAACGTTTTCCTAGGCCAGGACTATGGCTAGACCCATCTTAAAGAAAACTGAGGCACAGACTGTTGACTTTTCCAAGATCATACCGGGAGAACCCAATGACCATGACTCCTGGTCCCTAGGCTTATTGTGGCCATTGATGGAGGGACAGTGCTCTAGGGCTCTTAGAGTTTTTAAGAAGGCTTGCTCAAGTTTTCCAAAAAGGCTTCCTCAAATGTGATGCTTCCCGCCCCCACGCCCCTCCCATCCGGAGTCTGGCTCCTGAGACTCACCCCTCGGAGCCCACTGCTGTCCGGGAGACAGAGTACATGCCCTCCGAAAGTCTTGACACCACCTGCAGCAGGTAGCCCATGCAATTACAGCCCATTAGGGCTTCTCAGGTTGGAGAGACCATCCCATACATTTATTTGTGCCAGGATGGCCTGCCCAGGGGCACGGCAAGGTTGAGGCACAGCTGAGACCGCAATCCATGCCCTCATCCAGTAAAACCCAGCTTGTAAAGGTGAGGAGGCTCTCTTTGCTCCGGGATAGCAGCTGAACATCTGCTTGGACCAAAAAAGCAATGCCTCACTCATCGCAAGTCTCTCAGTGATAAGCAAGGGACAATGGGGCCGAGATGACCAGGAACCCTGCGAAAATACTTTGGTGGGACCAATGTGTACCAGGCCTCTGTCTGAAAAGCAGCGCCAAGGTGATCCCAGGTCCTTTGCCCAGTGTCTAGTACACAGTAGGTGCTCGATGTTTCTGGAATGCAGGGCTGCCCCTCAAGCCACCAACATGTAGATGATGACGCGCTTGGAGAGGCCCCCTGCACCCCAGGGCCTGCGCACCCCCCAGGGGACGCTGAGTCAGAGTGTACACGCGCGTGCGCGTGTGTGGTGTGTGTGGGTGGGCGTGCGCGCTCAGGCCTGGAGAGGGGAGGGGAAGGGAGGAGGGGCGTGTGGGAGGGGCAGAGGTGCGGGAGGATGGGAGGGAACAGGCTCGTGTGGGAGAAGGGGGTGTGGGGAGGGGCGGAGCGCGCGCACTCGCGCGCGAAG